TCATGCTTGTAAACTGTTTAATAAATGTAACCAAAGCCGTCAAAGATTGGGGAAAGATGTACACGTTCGTAAGTACTTTCATGAATCTGGTTCCTGGACGTTGGTGACCTCCCAGCAGTCGTTAGTGACCTCCCAGCAGTCGTTAGTGACCTCCCAGCAGTCGTTAGTGACCTCCCAGCAGTCGTTAGTGACCTCCCAGCAGTCGTTAGTGACCTCCCAGCAGTCGTTAGTGACCTCCCAGCAGTCGTTAGTGACCTCCCAGCAGTCGTTAGTGACCTCCCAGCAGTCGTTAGTGACCTCCCAGCAGTCGTTAGTGACCTCCCAGCAGTCGTTAGTGACCTCCCAGCAGTCGTTAGTGACCCAGCGGGAGTGTTGTCTCTCGTGGCTCTGGCCAGCTTAGTGGGGCAGTTGTTGACGGGTTGTAATGTCTTTGTTCTATACGGGTGGTTGGGTGTGGCTGAGTGATGTGGCGACTAGTGACGTGGTGTGCTTGTGTGGGTGTGTGTGTGTGTGTGGGTGTGGGTGTGTCTGTGTGTGGGTGTGTGTGTGTGTGGGTAAATGTGGGTGTGTGTGTGTGTGTGTGTGTGGGTGTGTGTGTGTGTGTACTCACCTAGTTGTACTCACTAGTTGTGCTTGCGGGGGTTGAGCTCTGGCTCTCTGGACCCGCCTCTCAACTGTCAATCAATTGGTGTACCGGTTCCTGAGCCTATTGGGCTCTATCATATTTAGACTTAAAACTGTGTATGGAGTCAGCCTCCACCACATCACTTCCTAATGCATTCCTTTTTTATTAACTACTGTGACACTAAAAAAAATTCTTTGCCTTTATGGCTCACTTGGGCACTCAATTTCCACCTGTGTCCCCCAGTGCGTGTGCCCCTTGTGTTAAACTGCCTTTGTCTACCCATATCAATTCCTTTGAGAATCTTGTACGTGGTGATCATGCCCCCCATAACACTCCTGTCTTCCAGCGACGTGAAGTTTAATTCCCGTAGTCTCTCCTCACAGTTCATGCCCCTCAGTTCGGGCACTAGTCTGATGGCAAACCTCTGAACCTTCTCCAATTTAGTTTTATACTTGACGAGATGTGGACTTCATACTGGAGTTGCATACTCCAGGATTGGTCTGACATACGTGGTATACAAGGTTCTTTGTGTGTGTGATTGATCAGGAGGAGGGCGACTGACAGCTCCCAATCAATCGTAGGTGATCTTGGAAAGGTAGAGATGGTAGAGTGTAGAAGAGGAGGAAGAAGTAGAAGGAATAAAGTAGAGGGGAGAGATTAGTTTAAGAAGACGGTAGGACATGGGAGAGAAAGGGTTCAGAAAGATTAGGATAAGAAAGTAGAAAGAATAGATTAAGAGTATGGGGGCAGAAAAGTATGTGTATGTTTGAAAGTGAGAAAGATGGAGAGAGAGAGAGAGAGAGGAGAGAGGAGAGGAGGAGAGAGAGAGAGTGAGAGAGAGAGAGGAGAGAGAGGAGAGAGAGAGAGAGAGAGAGAGAGAGAGAGAGAGGAGAGAGAGAGAGAGAGAGAGAGAGAGAGAGAGAGAGAGAGAGAGAGTACAATGATGTAATGGGGGGAACTAACAAATCATTTATTATGATACGTATATATTATATACATAAAAATGCTTTTTCCATTCATTGCAATATTTAACGCCAAATTGTAACACAACTGCAACCTTTGACCAATCAGCATCAGTGTAGAGACAGTTATTAGGGACTCTGACCAATCAGCGCTGATGAAAAAAACTTGCTGAAGCTTTTGGCCAATCAGGAAAGAGTGTAGCATTTTTTTTATAGGTGTATATATATAAATATTTCAGGAATTCATATATTCCACGAAATATATGAATATTTCATTTCAATATCCGGGTATTTGTTGGGGGGATTTTCGCGAAAGGAATGTGTAAATGTAATCCTGGTAATCAGTGGATTTAACCAGGTACATCCAGGTGTCTTAGGTGTAGCGTAGTAGGCTGGGGAGTGTGGGTGTAGTCCCCAGGTGTCTTAGGTGTAGCGTAGTAGGCTGGGGAGTGTGGGTGTAGTCCCCAGGTGTCTTAGGTGTAGCGTAGTAGGCTGGGGAGTGTGGGTGTAGTCCCCAGGTGTCTTAGGTGTAGCGTAGTAGGCTGGGGAGTGTGGGTGTAGTCCCCAGGTGTCTTAGGTGTAGCGTAGTAGGCTGGGGAGTGTGGGTGTAGTCCCCAGGTGTCTTAGGTGTAGTGTAGTAGGCTGGGGAGTGTGGGATGTAGCCCTGCTTGGTGGTGTACCTTGACAGATAGTGTGGGTGTAGCCCTGTCAAGTAGTGTGGAGTGTAGCCCTGCTTGGTGGTGTAACCCTGTCAGATAGTGTGGGGTGTAGCCCTGCACACACACACACACACACACACACACACACACACACACACACACACACACACACACACACACACACACACACACACACACACACACAGAGTCTCACTCGACGCACCGCAAGCAAAAGAAGTTTCCTCAAGTTAAGAGGAGATGAAGGGGTAAGTTGTTTGAGGTGAAGCGAGAATTGCGCCTCAACCTTCATCACACAGATGTTGACTCTCCCTAACCTCCGCCAGGATAGTCATGACAAGGTATTGCTTGGAGGACGAGCAGGGGATAGAGCAAGGTCGAGGAGGAGGTGGAGGAGAAGCTGGCAAGGAATAAGAGAAGAAGGAACAAAAGAAAGTGGGATGGAATAACCTCCGCCAGGATAGTCATGACAAAGGTATTGCTTGGAGGACGAGCAGGGGATAGAGCAAGGTCGAGGAGGAGGTGGAGGAGTAGCTGGCAAGGAATAAGAGAAGAAGGAACAAAAGAAAGTGGGATGGAATAACCTCCGCCAGGATAGTCATGACAAAGGTATTGCTTGGAGGACGAGCAGGGGATAGAGCAAGGTCGAGGAGGAGGTGGAGGGGTAGCTAGCAAGGAATAAGAGAAGAAGGAACAAAAGAAAGTGGGATGGAATAACCTCCGCCAGGATAGTCATGACAAAGGTATTGCTTGGAGGACGAGCAGGGGATAGAGCAAGGTCGAGGAGGAGGTGGAGGAGTAGCTAGCAAGGAATAAGAGAAGAAGGAACAAAAGAAAGTGGGATGGAATAGAAAGAGGAAGAGAAATAATAGAAGATGGGAAGAAAGAGGAGAAGAAAGAGAAGCTGAAAAGGAATACGAGGAGAAGGGGAAACAAGAAAAACTGCAATAAAAGAGAAGGTAGAAGAACTAGAAAGGTAAAATTACATAAACAAGGAACAAAAAGAGAAGTAAATCAACAGAATAGAACAAAAGAACAGAAAGATAAATCAGAGTCGAGAGAGGAAGAACAAGAAGAGAATTAGTAATAATAATAATCACATTAAAAATAATGACCAAAGAGAAATAATATATAATGACCGATATAATGACCGATATAATGTATCGGTTCATTAAAAAGCTGTGTATATCGAAGCGTCTTAAATGCCTTCAATAAGGGCCATGACAGACATCTTACTTAACAGACAACATATCCTAGCTGCTATGAGACACAGACAACATATCCTAGGTGCTATGAGACACAGACAACATATCCTAGGTGCTATGAGACACAGACAACATATCCTAGGTGCTATGAGCACAACAGACAACATATCCTAGGTGCTATGAGGACACAGACAACATATCCTAGGTGCTATGAGACACAGACAACATATCCTAGCAGCTATGAGACACAGGCAACATATCCTAGGTGCTATGAGACACAGACAACATATCCTAGCGGCTATGAGACACAGACAACATATCCTAGGTGCTATGAGACACAGACAACATATCCTAGGTGCTATGAGACACAGACAACATATCCTAGGTGCTATGAGACACAGACAACATATCCTAGCAGCTATGAGACACAGACAACATATCCTAGGTGCTATGAGACACAGACAACATATCCTAGCAGCTATGAGACACAGACAACATATCCTAGCTGCTCGCAGACACAGACAACATATCCTAGCAACTCGCAAACACAGACAACATATCCTAGCTGCCCGCAGACACAGACAACATATCCTAGCTGCCCGCAGACACAGACAACATATCCTAGCTGCTCGCAGACACAGACAACATATCCTAGCTGCCCGCAGACACAGACAACATATCCTAGCTGCTCGCAGACACAGACAACATATCCTAGCTGCTCGCAGACACAGACAACATATCCTAGCTGCTCGCAGACACAGACAACATATCCTAGCTGCTCGCAGACACAGACAACATATCCTAGCTGCTCGCAGACACAGACAACATATCCTAGCTGCTCGCAGACACAGACAACATATCCTAGCTGCTCGCAGACACAGACAACATATCCTAGCTGCTCGCAGACACAGACAACATATCCTAGCTGCTCGCAGACACAGACAACATATCCTAGCTGCCCGCAGACACAGACAACATATCCTAGCTGCTCGCAGACACAGACAACATATCCTAGCTGCTCGCAGACACAGACAACATATCCTAGCTGCTCGCAGACACAGACAACATATCCTAGCTGCTCGCAGACACAGACAACATATCCTAGCTGCTCGCAGACACAGACAACATATCCTAGCAGCACAATGATACATATCCACCAGGAATATTATCCACGAAAGCAGATCTACGAAACAAGGTGGTCAGGTTATCTTGAGGTTCTTCTATGAGACACAGGCAACATATCCTAAGTGCTATGAGACACAGGTCGGTGAGTGAGGTCGGTGAGTGAGGTCGGTGAGTGAATCTAAATATCCTCCCTCAGAAAGTTGAGTTAAAGAATTCATCATATAGGAATTCAATTTATCGGCAATTTTGGACCAAAAACGGTGATGGCATCGGCTGATGAGTGTGATGAGTTCATGTATCCTCCTGGTCACTAGATTATGTGTGGCAGGTGTGGGGCAGCTGACGGTGGAACGGGTTGATGTGGAGTGAACGTTCCTCTTGAAAGCTGTGTTGTGTACCGGTTGTTATGGAACGTGTTGATGAACGTGTTGTTATGGAACGTGTTGATGAACGTGTTGATGAACGTGTTGATGAACGTGTTGATGAACGTGTTGATGAACGTGTTGATGAACGTGTTGATGAATGTGTTCATGAACGTGTTGATGAACGTGTTGTTGAACGTGTTGATGAACGTGTTGATGAACGTGTTGATGAACGTGTTGATGAACGTGTAGATGAACGTGTTGATGAACGTGTTGATGAACGTGTTGATGAACGTGTTGATGAACGTGTTGATGAACGTGTTGATGAACGTGTTGATGAACGTGTTGATGAACGTGTAGATGAACCTGTTGATGAACGTGGGGGGGGAACGTTTGGTGGTAGGGACTGCATTGAGTATCAGTATCACTTGGCCTACTATGCAAGGCCCCATTTGCCTAATAAGCTAAGTTTTCCTGAAGTTATATATTTTTCTAAAACAAAAATTCTTGTGAAATAAAGATTTTTTATAATCATTATATTATATATAATTTTTATTTGTTTTTGATTTACAACGTACGTAGAAAAATATGACCTAAGCTAACCTATCCTATACTAACCTAACCTAACCTAACCTAACCTAACCTAACCTAACCTAACCTAACCTATCCTATACTAACCTAAACTAGCATAACTAAGTCAGTAATTAATGTTCCTGATCAAATATGCTAATATTAATCCAAATAAATCCAATTGGAAACAATTTAAAAAAATAGCGAAAAATCACTATGCCTATTAGGCAAAGTGAACGCACATACTAGGCCAAGTACCGCGTTCTGGCTATTAGGTACAACCCGTTGAGATCCGGGTAGGGTAGTATCCTACATGGAGCCGGTCTGAGGTGATACAATAACGTATTGCGATACAATACCTTATTGTATTGCTGAGGCGATACAATAATATGAACCTGTGATACCAAGTATGAACCTTTGTGAAGAGTGATCACCACAGAGGTATTTTGTATGGCTCATCGCTTCATTTGTGCAATATGCAATTTTGAACTCATTCCTGAGCATAGGATTGGGTTTTGCAAGATGTTAATTTTTTTTCATTTTCAAATTTCAGAACACAAAGTTCATAAATGATTTTATCTGCATATACCTGCCTTTCTGTCTATCGTTAATTAGTCTTTATATATATTTGCATGTTTGTCTATACTCACTGCTGTCTAGCCATACATATATGTCTATATATATTTTTTCAAACATGTTTTAATATCGATCCACTTGCATGTATACCCATATATATGTCTATTCAATCACCTATATGTCTATCTTTCTATCCAAACACCTGCATATAAGTATTCTTAATACATACACTAGCCTATCTATGCACACACCAGCCTATCTACCTCATGCTTGTCTCTCTGTATACTGTCTGTGTGTCTCTCTATCTGCCCCATCATGTGTGCATCATTGCTATCACGATAGGGCTTGAGAAGAAGCCAAGGGGCTCACGAAGCATCGATTAACTCCCAAGGTCTCCTCGTTGAAACATTCACAAGACGATACTTGATGGAACACAGACACGAAGTCTATGTCCCCTTGTTCTGCTCCATGGCTATCTGCGATTTCCTCCTGTGTCTCCATGGCTATCTGCGATTTCCTCCTGTGTCCCCCATGGCTATCTGCGATTTCCTCCTGTGCTCGACATCGCTATCTGCGATTTCCTCCTGTGTCCCCCATCGGTATCTGCGATTTCCTCCTGTGTCCCCCATCGCTATCTGCGATTTCCTCCTGTGTCCCCATCGCTATCTGCGATTTCCTCCTGTGTCCCCATCGCTATCTGCGATTTCCTCCTGTGCTCGACATCGCTATCTGCGATTTCCACCTGTGTCCCCCATCGCTATCTGCGATTTCCTCCTGTGCTCGACATCGCTATCTGCGATTTCCACCTGTGTCCCCCATCGCTATCTGCGATTTCCTCCTGTGCTCGACATCGCTATCTGCGATTTCCTCCTGTGTCCCCATGGCTATCTGCGATTTCCTCCTGTGTTCCCCATCGCTATCTGCGATTTCCTCCTGTGTCCCCCATCGCTATCTGCGATTTCCACCTGTGTCCCCATTGCTATCTGCGATTTCCTCCTGTGTCCCCCATGGCTATCTGCTATTTCCTCCTGTGTCCCCCATGGCTATCTGCTATTTCCTCCTGTGTCCCCATGGCTATCTGCGATTTCCACCTGTGTCCCCCATCGCTATCTGCGATTTCCACCTGTGTCCCCCATGGCTATCTGCGATTTTCTCCCATTTTATTTGCAAGGTATTTTTAGCCATGCGCATCTCGGCGCAATATTTACAGACAGCTGCGCAGTTGAAGGGTTGATAAGACGGCGCGTCTAGAAATGTACACGGAAGCCATTTGAAGAATGTCTAAATATGGTAATAAAGTCAATAACTTCCCCCAGTTCCAGGGGTGGTAAGTGGAATATTAGGGCATATTCTATGGATATTTTTTTTTTTTTTTTTTTTTTGAGATATATACAAGAGTTGTTACATTCTTGTACAGCCACTAGTACGAGTAGCGTTTCGGGCAGGTCCCTGGGGCCAGATTCACGAAAGCACTTACGAACCTGTACATCTTTTCTCAATCTTTGGCGGCTTTGTTTACAATTATTAAACAGTTAATGAGCTCCGAAGCACCAGGAGGCTGTTTATAACAATAACAACAGTGATTGGGAAGTTTTCATGCTTGTAAACTGTTTAATAAACGTAAACAAAGCCGTCAAAGATTGAGGAAAGATGTGCACGTTCGTAAGTGCTTTCGTGAATCTGGTCCCTGGAATACGATCCCCTGCCGCGAAGAATCGTTTTGTTTTCGTTTCGAATCGTTTTCTCTCTTGGAAGTGTGTGTGTGGAAGAGAAAGGGGGGAAAAACAGAGCCGGATGAGTCTTATCTTCACGTGATGGGATGAGTATATGTTTGAGAGATGTGTTGAATCACAGGAGTGTGTGTTGGTGCTGCTTCACTTGCCAGCAATAACAGGGGTTTTTTTGTGACAGTGCAACAAACAGCAATTTTTGTTGTTGGTGTGTGATACGTTTGAGGTGTGTATGTCGTCATGAAAAAGTATATTACGTGTGTATGTAGATGGAGCAGCAGCAGTATGAGGGGGGGGGGGGAAGAAGGAGCAGGTTACTCACTAGTGATGGAAGACAAACACTTGAGTATGAAGATGGAGCAGTATGAGGGGGGGGGGGGAAAAGAAGGAGCAGGTTTACTCACTAGTGATGGAAGACAAACACTTGAGTATGAAGATGGAGCAGTATGAAGAAGGAGCAGGTTTACTCACTAGTGGAAGACAAACATGAGTTATGAAGATGGAGCAGTATGGAGGGGGGGGGGGGGGAAGAAGGAGCAGGTTTACTCACTAGTGATTGAGTATGAAGATGGAGCAGTATGAGGGGGGGGGGGGGGGGGGGGAAGAAGGAGCAGTATGAGGGGGGGGGGGGAAGAAGGAGCAGGTTTACTCACTAGTGATGGAAGACAAACACTTGAGTATGAAGATGGAGCAGTATGAGCAGCAGTATGAGTATGAAGATGGAGCAGGGGGGGGGGGGGAAGAAGGAGCAGGTTTACTCACTATTGATGGAAGACAAACACTTGAGTATGAAGATGGAGCAGTATGAGGGGGGGGGGAGGGGGAAGGAGCAGGTTTACTCACTAGTGATGGAAGACAAACACTTGAGTATGAAGATGGAGCAGTATGAGGGGGGGGGGGGGGGAGGGGAAGGAGCAGGTTTACTCACTAGTGATGGAAGACAAAACACTTGAGTATGAAGATGGAGCAGTATGAGGGGGGGGGGGAGGGGAAGGAGCAGGTTTACTCACTAGTGATGGAAGACAAACACTTGAGTATGAAGATGGAGCAGTATGAGGGGGGGGGGGAAGAAGGAGCAGGTTTACTCACTAGTGATGGAAGACAAACACTTGAGTATGAAGATGGAACAGTATGAGTACACCTTTACTCATATATAAACCTGGGATGGATATGTATATGAGTGGGATTGGGTGGTTATAAATAGGAGCTGCCTCGTATGGGCCAATAGGCCTTCTGCAGTTACATTCATTCTTATGTTCTTAAACCTGCCATGAGGCTAGGCACAGGAGTGGGAAACTAGCCTTAAACCTAGCCAGCGATACTGACATAAGAGCTGAGCCATCCCTGCGTCAGTAAAGGAAAAAGACCTGGTGGTATAGGCATAAGGGAGGCCTCGTAGCCTGGTGGATAGCGCGCAGGATTCGTAATTCTGTGGCGCGGGTTCGATTCCCGCACGAGGCAGAAACAAATGGGCAAAGTTTCTTTCACCCTGAATGCCCCTGTTACCTAGCAGTAAATAGGTACCTGGGAGTTAGTCAGTTAGTCACGGGCTGCTTCCTGGGGGTGGAGGCCTGGTCGAGGACCGGGCCGCGGGGACACTAAAGCCCCAAAATCATCTCAAGATAACCTCAAGATAACAAGAATCTCATAACAGAAGCACACAATCTCAGAATACCGTCAGCTGTGTATATTAAAATTGGCCAGCGTCCGAGATGCCTTTCAGGAATGTGTACAAAGTTATTATTTAATTATAATAATTTATATTATTTTTTATTAATTATTAATATATTATTAATATTAATATATTATTTAATAATAATAAAAATTAAATAAATTATTATTATAAAATTATAACTTACTATATATAAGTTCCGGGACTTATATATAGAACTTCTGCGAGGCAGTTTTGTGAATGATCACGTAACACTCAGAACTAGAAAATGTGCAACGATATACAACAAACACCTGAGCTTGAGAGGTTATCTTGAGGTTATCTTGAGATGATTTCGGGGCTTTAGTGTCCCCGCGGCCCGGTCCTCGACCAGGCCTCCACCCCCAGGAAGCAGCCCGTGACAGCTGACTAACTCCCAGGTACCTATTTACTGCTAGGTAACAAGGGCATTCAGAGGCATTGAGAGGCTGAGTTACGAGGGAAAACTGAAGACATTGAACCTCACCACACGAGTAAAAGCCGGAATAAAGACACATGATCACGACATACAAGATACTAATGGTGAATTAAAAATGTAGACATAAATACGAATACATATTACTGTATTAATAATTGTTTTTAAATGGAGGAAGAGGAAGCACCAAGATAACACTACCATCAATGATATCAAGAAAAAAGACATAACTGGAAAGGAGAGAAAGAAAAGAAGGAAGAAAAAGAGTATGAAGTTCAGGTGAGCTATAGACTTTAAAATGAAGGAAGGAAGGAAGGAAAGAATTATCAGGGGGAAAGCGCCAAGTCATTCCGACTATATAGCACTGGGAAAGGAT